TTGAAAGCAGAAGTTGGTTACCTTGTAAAGGATATCCAAAACTTTCTACAGCCATCCATCCAAATCAACATAGGACCAGGCATTACTGTGTAACGGTTCAAGTTGCCACAGCTCACATCGGTACATCAAGTAAAAAGAAAGTGAAGTGGAAGACGAAGAAAAGAAAATTCAGTCGAAAGAAATGTAGTGCCAAATGAGACAAAAAAAGAATGAGAAAATTGTGAGATTCGGTATAATATTAAGATGAGGATAATGTGTGTATACATCTGCGCCACTGACATCGGTTCTGAGTCCTATCACCTAGTCTCCAACCAATGGTTTCTCCTGTCCCATGAACCCCCAACCACCTAGTCTCCATCGCCCCACAAGGGTAAAACAAACAATAAAAGACTTTTTACTTTGGTGCCAAGTGATGTATAGCCACCTCGAGAAAATTCTATGGAACCTGGAAGGATGCAAAGTAGCAGGACCAGACAGTTTACCTCCACAGGCTTTCAAAGATAAGGGTAAGAATTTGCTAATTAAAATCACGCAGGTACTCCGTGGTGCAAAACAATCAGAGGTATCAAAGTGAGACTGGTCACTGATCATCCCAGTCTATAGGAAGGAAGAGGAGTCTTCTTGTGGCATACACAGAGGGATTGGTTTGACTAATTTCGTGTCCAAGATCCTAGGGTCCATAGTTATGCAATACCTAACTGGAGCCCGACGGCAGCAAACTCGAGAAAATCAGGCGGGTTTCACACCACAATGAGAGTCCATAGAACTCATCTTCCCCGTTTGACAGGATACAAAACACAGGCATACTAGCTGGTGGCCAATATCTGCAATGCTTATTGACCTCAACTATGTCAACTAAGAGTTGTTGTTGCAGTGTCTGACTGCGAAGATACCATAGAGCAAGTATGTAACTCTAATCAAATCTCTCTACTTGAAATCACACAGTCCTGTAGGGGTTTACGGAGAGTTGTCATCAGAATTGACGACGACTAGTGACATCCGCCAAGGATGCCCACTGTCACCGTTCCTGTTCAACTTCGCCATAGACGCATAAATAGATACAACCTTAGGCACGTCTGACTTCACAGGGTTTGATCTACTCGCGGGAAGTCATCTGGTTGACGATATTGTCCTGCTAGGTGAAGACGCTGACATAATGCAGGATCTTGTAAACACGTTGAACATGCGTCTCGCACATGTCAAATGTAAGATGATGCCTCAGGACTAGTCTGCAACTACTCCCAAGTCAAAGATAGAGAGTGAAGTCACGTCATATGTGTCCACCACTTCACTCACTTAGGGATTTGCATCAACCTGAATGGGCTGGCTGCCGACAGAATCTCAGGTCGGATATTGAAGGCCTGTTTGCCACTTGCCAACTTGCGTCATCTGTGGCACTGACTAAAGAGATATCCGACTATATATCAAAGGACGGGTAAACTGCACTGCAGTCTGTCCTGTCATCTTATACGGCTGAGACATGGTCGATAAAAAGTACATGACATGAAGCGATTAAAGGGATTTGATCGTAGGTTTCTTCGTAGCATAGTTCACGTATTATGGAATCACCACGCGACCGATATTGAGGTCAGGTAAAGGGTGCCAGGCAAGTCGATTGATGAGGCTAAGGTGGCTTCGACACATACTATGCATACTGAACCGCCGTCTATCTCGACATCCAATGCTAGGACAAGTTGGATTAGGTTAGAAGAGGGTTCAGAGTGGCCAGACAAACACGTGATATTAGTCCGTGAAGTCGCTAACTGTTGGTCTGGGAAAATACGAATAAGCGGTCAAGGACTCTCGGTCACATGACTGAAAGTTAGTCAAAGTGACCCATATCTATCCTCCTTTACGTCCTCCAAAACTTGAGCACTTGCAATAACCTACATCTTCAATGTGTTTATCCTCTCACACTACTTTGTCCACTTTTCCTATCCACTAAATCTTCGAATACCATCTATGAAGTGTGGCAACCGATGCAATTGCCTTGGGTTCTATCACGATTTTTCCGTCTGTATGCCTGAACAACCGCACCCTTGCACTTCAGACACACTTCACCTACACCTTACACACAGAACACCCAGACTGAGATAGCTCACATGAAATCCACCTCCACATTCCTAGTCATACAACAGTACACAAGCGTACAACCCATACTCCGATCACTTCATAACCACATCGCCTCCTCACATCATATATCCATCCAGTGAATTACCCTCACCACAATCCTAATCCTTATAAACCATGCCTAAATTTATACCACAGTGAACACTCACTAACACGAAGGATCACCATTTACATCAACACCAATAAGAGGAATTCAGAACTGTCTTCGCTTCACGTAGTATCTATATTTCAAACTGTTTGGTACACTCCACTAAACATTATCACAAGCATTCTCTTACTTTCTTTACTTCATATCCCACCATCCATACAGACCGTCGGAATTGAGTGACACTGTCAACACGTAGGAAACACTCAAGCTCACAACAAAGCACGAAACGGAAAAGCCGTATCCATCCACTTACGTCTTTCGACTGTCAAAAACAACCACTCCGAAGTGACCTGTTACAATGGAAATAAGAAGAAATTCAACAAATATTTGACAATACTAGTCATGAGTATGACGGTTACATTGAAAAACAGCATTAATCCCAGCAACAGAACAATGTGAATCCTTATCAGACTAGCACTGCATATCAAAATCAAATTCAAATGACACGCAATTAGCTCATCATGAATGCAAGCTCGACTAAGAAAAAAAAAAAACACACACACACACACAGAGTAATACTAGACTCCGTAAAAAATAAAAATCAATACAGATAGACAGCCTCTTGTGGAAAACAAATCACCAGGTCACAAGACGCCTCATCCACTCATCCATCACATACAGATAAAGACGGAAACATTAGAAAATGCAATCATAGACTCATCGGAAACTACGACCAATTATCCAACTAACCTCAAAATCACAAACAGCTATCCAAGACCAGTCAAAATACCTCCTCGTCCAATTTCGGGGCATCAACCTCCAGCTGACTGACGTCAAGAATGAATCTGTATCAAGCAATGTAGTGTAAGTAATGTCATCGGTTTACCATACGAACGTGAGCATTCGTCACCAACTTATCACCAGTCGGTCACCAAGGTACTCATCATCCACCTGCCAACCGGAGAAGCCGTACACAAACACACACGTTACTGGCAACAAAACTTCAGTGCTCATTTCACGATATCAACCTACTTGTATGAACCACCCAATCATACAACGCTACAACTGTTAGATATACAGCGTCGTCTTTACTACGTAACCGAAGCACTAGGGCATCTCGATTCTTAAGCTCAAGCGCTCCAGTCACTCGCAACCCCAAATAACCACATCCATTTCCCTTTCAGTCAGGAAATAGATCTCTCTGTTGCGTTTCGTACAAAAGCCTACCATAACCTCTCAAAGAAGTCAACACACTGGGTAACCGCAGAGATCGATTTACGCACAGAGACAGAACTTCACAGCACAATAATTCCTCGCATTTCACACCGCATTCCCTCGCGCAATGTACCTCTCGTCGTTTGCTCGCAAGCAAAAGCGTCCGCTGAGCCTGAACAACCGCATCCGGTCTTTAGCTGGCAACCTTGTGTGGTAACCAGTCTTTCCATTTCACGGAGACTCAACTTGGTACACTCGCTGTAAGTCTAGTCCTCACGAAGTGCTGCCTTAAAAGAAAAGCCTGCTGGGTGGTGTTACGACGAAAAGCAGCTACTGTTTCAGAGTGAATTTCTAGACTACACTGGGGGTGTCAAGACGGAGTCACATCTGACTAGATGGGCTGTGACAGGTGTTTTCTACCGGTAACCGGCGGTACCATTTGGATGCTACCTTCAGTGTGAAGAGATTCTCAGGAGAGGTCGGTCTCTATAACAACACACTCCTCATTGCCTCACGGTCTTCCGGTACAAGTGGGTTTTCTTTATCCCGATCTAGAAAATTCTTTGTTCACACCAACAGATGTCTCGTTGACTCTCCGGTCACACAAATCTTTTACTTCAGGAACTTAAAAAAGAAGTATTGGATACTAAAGCCTATCTACGCTCGATAGGGAGATGAGAATACCAAGCACGTAGATAAAGAGATGGATAAGCATTTAGCTGAATGTGACAGCAGTTCTCATGCTGAGGAAACCTGGTGTGATATGGATACTACTGTAGAAACAGAGGTAAGAACAGTTGGCAATCTACACGCGGTTAGCAAGCGTCATTTTATTTCCACGACGTCATCTGACTCGACTGATACAATACTTATTCCAACTGCCTCTGGTTACAATGAAAAAAAAGCAGGACATACATAAATTGACCAAGGACCCTCCCAATGATCGTGAGCAGCAGTGGGTAATGAGCAAGAGAGATAAAGAAGGCACCAGAGATGCGTAACACCTGGCATCCATCTAGGCGATGGTGAGTAAAAGCACCACCGAAAAAGATGGGATGCTGATAACCTCTCTGCATAGGCGACAAGAGCCTTGGGCTGGACGTTCAGAAATATATAAGATGGTAAATGTACTATTGGTTGTTTTTTTTGGTCATTCTTAATGTCGTTAAATTAGTAGCTGTAGGGAATGGACAGTTATATTTTGAGACGTCTATTAGATCGTTGGTCAGTGCTGGGTAAAGGAGTCTCACGAAGACCCTTGCGCTTGCTTTCACATTTATTTAGTTTGATAAGCTTACGTCATCTCTGATTGTGGAAACAAGCGATTTATTTCAGTCAAAGATCCCGTGTATATTAGTTATCACTAATAGCCCACACGTAATTTTAATCGAGGTATCACCGTGTTATGCGCCTACTACCTGATTCGTTATCATACCAACATACAACTCGTCGCGTTTGTTTATCGTTGAATTGTTATGCAGTGTCGTTTTCCCGGTAACGATTTAGATTTCTGATCATATTCAGACACGGTTTCATTTAATCAACAGACTATTAGCCATCTTCAAAATTATTTATTGTTCAGTAGCATATTACAGTTCTTTGACAGTGAGATCTAAAAAACAAAGAAAAACAGAATTAACCAGATGAAAACTGGAATTACTTGGAGGAAGTGAACGCTTAATCTTTCCAACTTTTTCTTTTTCAACGACCACAAGTGTATATAAAAACCGACTGCAACGAATTTTGAACTTGACATTGTCTTTATTTTCTTTGATCTTAACAGCTAAAAACGTCATGAATGTGGATGAGAAACCTACATTTGGCGTCCGCTCTCTGTGTCATTCGAAGGAACTCCTTTATGTTGTCCACTTGTCGAGGCATCTGCTGAAATTAAAGTCAAAGTGAACAATATATTACGTAAAGTGATCAGTGCTCCGAGCGGCGTTTCTGCCCACAATAAAGATTCTGCATGTTTCCAGGACCACTCAAAACGCGTTCCAGGTCGAAGGTTATGGTGCGCTATAAATACTTCGCGACCATAAAACGCGTTTATGTGATCTTTTAAAATTCCTAGTTTATCCTGTGATAATGGTGGGTCTCGGATCAGCAGTAATTTCATAATCAAGCCCTCAAACTTATTACACAAGCAGTCTAAGACATGGCTAAACGCTAACCTCCAGTCAAATATGATACCGTCTACATAGCTGCGTAAGATAGAACTTCGTGATGCATGCTGCTCGATTGCCTCCACCCAAGCGACGCACCATAGCAGTCGGATATCCATATTTGAAGAGCCATCCTGCCGCAGTCCTAAAATGAACTGCAGGACAAGCTCTCCGATTAGCTTGTGGGACAGCAGTATGTCGAGTAGAGGTTGAAGTTGAAGAATTTGCATTTGAATAACACTGTCCATGGAACATCCAGAGGCAAGATTGTCACAGCCATACTTACAGATGCACTCAGTGACAGATGAAAGACAAGTGGATAGCAGACGACTATTCAAAACATCCTTCAGATTCGGCACGGTGGTTGTGTCTCTTCCGTGGAGCAAATCCTCCACATAGCTAAAGATTACCGCCTTGTTGCAACTCAACGCCTGAACTAACTCAACTGTAAGTTCCACGTTATGTTTCACGTTCAGCATCCAAAACCTGCCCAGATAACTAAGCGACCACCGAAAAGCAGTCTGCAGCATGTCCGTAGATGGTATTGTTCCGTGTGCAATGTCATTGCGCAAGTCAGCCAACCAACCAGGTAGGCCAGCTATCCGTGCAAGCGACAGAACAGGAATTGCAAAGTTGGTCTCTCGCGATCTTGGGACTCGCTGGACACTAACGAAACGAATCTCATTAGAGCTAGAGCCATACTTTGGCTTGATTGTTCGAAGTAGGCGTTTAACAGCTCATAAGTACAAATTATGGACCGCGGTATTTTCGATACTGGCATTCTACAAAGCCACAATTTTAACGATTTCCAAGCCAGATGCAAATCGTGGTCATCTGAAGATGATACACGCTTAGCAACATCTTTAAATTCATCGGCGTCAACCCAAGGAACTATCCGCTTATCATCATGCATAATACAGTATAGAAACCTAGAATCTTTAAATCTAAAACCAAACGCCTACTAGAAGACGAAGTTTTTAACTCACGCCGCGTGGAATCTAACAAATGTACTGACCTTGATGAAACAAACCTCAACGTACACAACAAACAATCGATTAAATTGTTCACGGAAGACTGCACCCAATACTACGAAGTACATATACAGGATAACTTTAGGAAACTACCCGCTAGTTTCTTTTTCTTTGGTTTAAAGCCATGTATGCAATTTTATGTTGACAGAGCTAAGATTACCTTGAAACGCACTTTCCAACCCGAAGCCAGTGTTTACCTTAGGTTTTAGCGCTATTCTACACACTAGAAAATTTCTGATATGATCATGTAAGCAGCTTCCCCCTTTTGTTTCTATATTCTGAGCTATGCACATAAAATACCAAGAACCTGTCTAAATGATATTTTCAATCAGCTTACGTAAAAGCAACTGTTACCTGGGGTTCTAATTTTAACGGCAGTTTATATTCATCAACTTCTTTTTTGAAGATGATAAGTTGAAGGGCCACGTATCTCACGATGGGCAGTATCTCCCTCAAATGTGTACTGTAGAAACGCAGAAAGACATAGAGGATGGGTCCGAAAAAATAACTTTTTGATAATCGGATAGGGGTTGATCGTCAGGTATAAACAGAGTGACTATAGAGACCGAGAAGATATAAATGTGTGCTTAGAAGCTGAAAGGTCGAAAAAACCTTCCTGACGACTTCGGCACCCTGGAGTCAGCCTACAGGCCGCTAACCAGAGTGCTCATGTAAAATTAGTACTGGAGAATATGTCGGTTTCTGAGTTTCTTGAACCATATGAAGTTAGATGCCAGAAAAGTCTTCAAAATCCACATTTTTATGGATTATTCCACAAGATGACTGAATTAATTCCCATATGTCCCCTCAATAAGCGATGTATTTATCGTGTTTCTTACGTTGCCAGGTGATGTGATCCTTAATGCTTTTGTGAACTTGTGTCTTCAATGGTGTTTTGAAAACTGGAGGTGGATCATAAGGTGTATTTCATTCCGTCTGGTTTCCTTGATCTCAGTATTGAAGTATGTGAATATGATGGTTTGCCATTTGCCCAGACGCAAACGTGAGAGGTGCGGAGGTCAATCACTAATTATTCGCCCTTGTTGAATGTCCACTATCCCGGGGCCAACGGAGTAGCCAGGCGGAAATAGTATACCCGACAGACCGTGCCGAACTACCGATGCCCTTCAACCAACCGTTCAGAAGATTGAGTGTGCGCAACGCAGCACATCGTGGTAACGTCCCAAATGGTATGGAAGCTTGACTGTGTGCCTTCGGCTTAACCAGCCCAAAACGACTATGAAGATCAGGCCTGCACTGCTTACCGTCATGGTCCGTGATTAGATCATTTAGTTGTTATGTATAATAGTGTTCTACTCTCTTTTGCCATATATTACTGGTATTTCATTGTATGTTCATACCGAATTTCTATATTTTATCTCATACGGCACTTTCAGTGTCAAGTGCGCAGTATAGATCATCCAACCAGCTTTTCACACCACTAATATATATGCGCGTGTAAGACGGAACTTCCCCCCCCCCCCCACTGAAGGATTTGCCGGGCCCCAAAAGTTACTCACTACTTAATAGTCTAATAAAATGCTGGAGACTGGTCGACCCTTTAGCTAGTGAGGTGGGTAACCGAATGCGGTCCTCCTACAATTCAGCAGTCTTCAACATCCCCGACAATTCCCCGCCACAGCGGTTTAAGACTGTTTACAAGTATGTGGCCTGGCTGACTTAGCTTGTAATGTTCGTTGCCTAAAGAAGAGAACAGCCAGGTTCTACTGCAGTTTAACTTCCCGTGCAACACAAAACACTTCTCTGACCGTCAGAGAATTATTGCATCCACAACATCATATAGCAAGGTTAGGATATCTCCTGACCTAACTTCTTATCAGCGTCGCACACGGAAATTCGGCAGTGAACTGACTTCGATAGCTTCGCTGAAACCGTGAGATATGGAAAGCGAGAGGCAATCAATGAGTTGTGAGGGTGACAAGCTGACTTGAACTTCAATGACCTTCATACCTCCTCCAGTTACTTCTGCAAATCTAATAAATACAGTAGTGAGCATAAGAACTGCAGACCCCATGCCACCAATAAACCTAGATGGCAGCACAACCCTTAGCGATGAACTGCAAGGATCCCAAGGCAGTCAATCTGACCATATCACAGCTAGACTAGTCCGTGCAACCTGCTTTTTCAGCTACGCTACTAAATCCAGCATCTCTAAGCGGAAAGTCGTAGAGATTTAAGCATTCTAATAACAGATATTGATATCCAGAGAAATTAAGAACTCGCAGCTGTCCGGTGCCATATAGCTTCATGAATCGGTCTCAAGTTTGTTCGTTCCCACACAAAGGTAAGTATGAAAACACTCCTCGCCCAGGACCAGGAGACAAGATGAACCGTAATACGGTTCAGATGTTTAATTGTGAGAGCACAAGCAAAACGTACCACCACAGACAGCCCAAGCCACCTAGACCGTAGAATACAGTGTCAAGAAACAACGATGGGTTTTTCTCGTTACATCTTACGGTACAGTCTCCGTCTAGCCAGCGAAATAACTCCAGTACACCACCAAAGTACTTTAGTTCACAACCTAACGTGAATTAACCCAAAACTATCCCTTTGAGCATTCAGAATTAGGGATCTTATACCCACCCTGGCAATGAAGTAGAAGATTAAGTAAAAACTATCCAGTGTTCTATGAAGAATCTGCCCTCTGGAACCTCCAAAAATTCATCCTTTTCAGGCCTCGAAAAACAGTAGCACCTCTGGCCGTGCAAATGACGGCATGCTCGAGTTAGTTGCTATCAGCTAAAGCCAGCAGCCAACTCAGCCAGGCCAATAAATGATCCTTCATCGTTTGAGACATGCAGTACCAAAGAATTTGCTTATATCCCAAAATTTCCCACCCTACATCCCACTGACTCAAATGATGACCATGAAATAACACTTTTATCCGATCCTGTCAATGACTTAACTCATCGCACCACCAGAACTCTCTGTTCTTCTGTTTACCCTACGTTTAATTTCCACTGAGCTGGGTTATCTAACATCTCCGGCTTCCTCGATCAAACCATGCTGCATTTTAATTACTGAAACTTGGTGTACGCAGATACTTCAAACCCTAGGGTCACGTCAGATAATTACAATTTGGATCGCAATGACCACAGCACTTCTAAAGGTTGAGGTTGTGTTGTCTAGTTTCGCCCTGATTTTTTATCTTTGAGTGCCCCCTTATCGGGTTGGGACCTCCTAGATGATGCAGTATTCGTGAGCACTAACACTTGCCAACATTGTAAAATTACCGCTAGTTATCTATATAGGCCACCACAAGCTGGACCTGCCGTTAGCGAACATATAAACGAAGTATTCAAGCTGCTGTCACCCATACCAACTCGTATGGTAATAGGCGGTGATTTTAATATGCCGCGCATCATATGCAGGACACTGCAAGGACCATCTAGTTTCAAACCATTTTTCAAACTTCAGAAACCAATGGATGGGTTCGAGCTGGTAATAGCTGCGCTCGACGGAATAATATACTTGACCTGATTTTTGTAAACAACGAACCACCATTCACCAAACACGCCAACAATACATTCCGGGAAAGTGACCACGAGGTTGTAGCCTGTCAAATCTTTGCACCATGCAGGTACATTCCTACATTACTGAAGCCTACAACACTTTCGCAGACGTTTCTTTGAAGTAGATTGGTCATTCTCGCAACACTCAATACGCTGTCTAGACTGGGATGATCCAAACAACTCTCTTGCAAACTTCCATCTGAATTAAAACTTTCGTCTCGACTCCGTAGCCCCAAAGAAAGCACAAAAGTCGCGTATTAATCTCAAAGACTACATCCATATCACAGTCAGGCGAATGCTTAGGAAATTTCGGAAACTTTTTCGAAGCGCATGAATTTTCTGTCATTCTTAGTAAGCGTGCCGTTTTCAGTAACCTGGAAGCTCACGGACGGAAAGGCGAAACCCCTACTGAGAATAAAATTCTAAAACATGAATAAAAATGGTCTTCTTGCCACTTTTCTTGAAGAGATACTCTGTAATAGACCTGACGTGATGAATATATTGAAAGTGGGCGACAAGATTGTTGCAGACTCCTTACAGATATGTGAACTGATAAGCGAAACGCTTAGCCTTTCTTTCATTGACTGTAGTCGCGGCCTTGCACCAGACAGTGGCACTGGTACGCATAAAATGTCAGAAGCACATGGCGCAACAAACTCACTGAAACCGCCTCTTGGTGGAGGAGTAAATGGGATACCTGGTACTTTCATTAAAAAATGGCAGTGGGGAATTCCCCATATTGCTGGCAAAATATTTAACCTGTCCTTGAACTCTGGCACTTTCCCATTTTCGTAGAGGCTAGACAGATTACCGCGTACTTCGAGGAAGGTTCCAGACTTAGCCCGGAAAATTACCGCCCATCAACATAACTTCTGTTCGTTCACGCATAATGGAGAAAGTAGTGGAAAACGCCGCCTTCTCTCACCTTTCAGATCACAAACTTATGAATTCTTCGTAGCATGGGTTTCTGCCCGAGAAATCTTGTACCAACTGTCACTTAGTACTCTTCAAGTACGTAATTAACAGCAGGGATGGTGTAAAACTGGTTGTCCCGCCCTGCTTCGATTTCACCAAAGCCTTTGACAAAGTGCGCGACTTCTCACTCCTTCATGAACTGGATCCGTTTGAGATAAACGGACAGTTGTATGATTGGATCGGCTGATTTCTATTGAACTGCACTCAAGTTGTCAAAACAGGTTCACACTGTTCCCTTCCCAGGAATATCACCAGCGGAGTAATCCAAGGCTCTATTCTGAGACCCCTTGTCTTTATAATGTATACAAATGATGTATGCGCTTGCCTTCAGTCAGAGAAAACGGTCCTCTTTGCAGATGACCTGAAAGTAGACTACACGTTACATCCTAATCAATGAAGTAACATCAATACCATCATAAGAAACGACCTTGACAAGCTACAAAGATGCTGACACGTGGCTGCTACCTCTGAATACACAGGAGTCCGGTTTTATGCTCTCCAGCGAACAGAGCGTGCCAACTAATCTTCAACTGGACAACACTGCACTCCAGCAGCTGGGCAGTATTTGCAACTTTGGAATAAAATACTCCAGTAACCTTGCCCATGCAAAACACGGTGCTCCGGATCACACCGCTTCAACGGCTTTATCCACGAAAATTTTCGCCTGAAGGAAACCACACTGATTCTGTATAAGATGCGTGTGACCACTACTAGAATATTGTCCCATCACACCTAATTGCATGCGGTCTAGTGACAATCAGAAAATAGCAAAAACTCGACGA